GACATGATTGCCTGTAATTGGAGATCTGTTTGTAGAAGGTCAAGGTAAAGGCCTTACAATAACCAGAACCTGGCTAAAAAAGCCTGGCAAGCACTCAAAGAGTTGTCTTGCTGCTGGAAACACAGCCTTTGAGCTGAAGCATAAGCAGCTGTGAAGCATGGTTTTCTTATTTTTCTACAAGTGTTGTAACACCTAGTATCTACTTCCACTGATCTTAAAATAAAATAATAATGGTACATGCTGAGTGGCCTCATGCTGTTAAACCACTGATATTTGATCCTGTGTCAGTCACAGGAACAGAGAAAGGAGGGTTACTGATCCACTGTTTGGTACTTAGTGGTCTACTACAAGACTGGGGGACTCAAGAGTAGAAATAAACACAGACTGTTTTACTAAGTTGAAGCACCAAGACAAATACTCGAGAAAACCCATTAAGAGCAATTGACCCATCGGCTCGGTATTCTGCAAAAAGTGAGGAGAGCACATGTTGAGAGTCTCAAGTGCTGCACAGAGTGAACTATCACATGAAGAAAGTGTTATGTGTACATGGATTCTATAATTAAAGGACTCTGATGAAATAACAGTTACAGTCTGACTGTGAATGGTATTTTTGACCTATTAATGCAGGTGGTGATCACAATTCTTGCAATTCATACTCTTATATCATCTAAATATGCACAAGTGAATCCTTGATGATTAGATCAGATGAATCGATTACTGAATATCTTGTCTGCCATCATAGCTTCTTAGGTCAAAGAAAACAGTAATGTTTTTCCGTTGAGCAGTAGGTTATTAACTGTTGGTTTTTTTCTAAAATCAAATTAAAACCAGGTAATTGGATAGCATAAAACTTCTTGTTGTTCTTCTGTTGTCTTCTCTGTTGCATTGCAGATGATTTGCTGAATTTAGACTCACATTGATAGATCTATATAGTATTCACCAAATATGGGCCTCTTTAAATAGAAGATTTCAGTCTAATTGTACACTTTACTGGTGACAAATGTTGCTAAGACTCTGCATAAGCAAACATTACTGAAAAAGGAGGAAACTGCAATTTACAGCCCTGAAGGCTTCAAGTAAAGCCTTCTTTGTCAGGATATTCAAATTCCAGGCACAAAAATGCTACATTTGGAAGTGTTGCTGTAAGATTGTCTTAAAAGAGCCAATAAATGTTGGTTTAGTTCATAATATTTGGTGAAATTTTCTTCAGAGTTTAATTGTGAGAGATAAGCCTTCAATTTGAAAATAAAAACCTAGGCATTTAAACTCAGGAAAATTTCTACTGAAAAGAGAAAAGTAAAATATAAGCATTTTAAAGTTGGAATAATGTTGGCAACATGACAGGTAGCATCTGTTTTCTGGAGATAGGACTCAATTTAGAACTTAAGTAAGTTGATTATGGAATGTTTTGAGGATTTTTATTTGCTGCTTCTTTTATAGACAAGTTGATTTGCATTTTCTTGATACTACTAAGATGTATGTCTGATCTTGAGGTAAGAATAAGAATCTCGAATTAATTCAACACTTCTGGGAAACCCTGGCTAGTAAATATTATGAAGTTTGACATTATTATTGTCCTGGCTTCTGAAAGGCTGGACTTCTATGTGAGATTTCACTGTTGTTAGTTTTGTTTTGGAAGAAATGTGAATTTAGTTTGTTGGCTTTTTTCCCAGAGGCTTTGTGGAACTGAGTAGCTTTTGGGCACACAAAGCTGACTTGCTTGGATGTGGGTTTTTTTCTTTTTTTTTTTTTTTTTTTTTTTTTTTTTTTTTTTTTTTTTTTTTTTTTTTTTTTTTTTTTTTTTTTTTTTTTTTTTTTTTTTTTTTTTTTTTTTTTTTTTTTTTTT